TTATATCCAGTTTACTTCGTTGCTAGTTTACTTCGTTGCTAGCAAGCATAGACAGTATCATTAGCCAGCATGGAATGTAGCATAAAATAGCACCATAAACATTAATCTCATAAATGTTCAAAATGTTAAAAAAATAAATGTTCATCATAGCCCTTCCTAATTGACAATAGTGTAGAAGAACCGGGTTTTTTTGCTTTGTATGTCGGGGGCGGGATATTCATGTGATATTCATGTGATTGGTTGTTGGTCGCGAAATCCCCAAGCTGTCAGACACGCCCAGCTCCAGGATTTTCAAGATTTGGTCAAAGCTGCTGTGTGGACACACCGTAAGTGAATGTGTGTCAGTCTGAATTGACGCTGTTTGGCATCACAACGCTGTTATGAAAGTTTCTCTAGTATAAAATGGGTGATGTTAGCATAGCAACCGAAGCTAAACTGACTACTTGCTATTGCTATCCTATTGTGGCATAAGCCGTTTTCTACAGGCACATTTTACCGGCGTATTTTTTCATTATGATTCTACTTGTGATAGTCGGACACGACAACCTGTGCAGCCCATGTATTGATTCCATCCGATAGCTGCTATAATACAAAACAAAACGTCTGCCTCTCTCCACAATGATCAATAACAGTGAACGGATGGTCAAAGTAAGGTACAAATAAACAGAATCACACGAAGCCTGGTTAGTGTTGCCTGACTTTATAAGTGTGTGGTTGCCTTCTAGTCACTTTGCTCGGCGCTACTGCTTGTAGGCAGGCATGACGAGACTCTTCAGTCGACCCATGTTTAGGGGAGGTGGGTTTAGTTTCCTGCACGCCTCGACGTAAGAGAGACGTAAGCGACGCCGCCTCTTAGCTCTGGAATCTTGCTTCTAGACCAGGGGTGTCAAACTCAATTTCATCGCGGGCTACATTAGCATTATGGTTGCACTCAAAGGGCCGGTTGTAACTTTATGACGATATAAATATATAAAATAATGTATTATATTACATTATTGCCTCTGCATTGGATTATTATCGGATAGGGTAATAACTTCATAATTAACTACGTCTGAAAGCAGAAGTCTAGGGCAAATAATTGCAAGTCTCTTCAGTGTGCATGTAACAAAATGAGATGCATGTTGTTTATTGGCAATGTGCTTCTGTAAAACGGCATGTAACCGTATAATAAACATAATATATTCTTTGCAAGCTCTTGCGGGCCACATAAAATGAAGTCGCAGGCCGGATTTGGCCCCCGGGCCTGGAGTCTGACACCCCTGTTCTAGACCGACAATTTTTTGGAGCTGGAAACGAACCGGATTCCGGAGCTAAGAGGCGGCGCCGCTGCGGTGTGAAGAGGAAAAACCGGTACTTTTCAGGCTCTAGCTCCGAGTCGGCCCTCAAAACGCGTTGGTGTGAAAGTATGGGATTAGTTTTGTATCATAAAGATAAAGCAACACTTTCTCAGAATAAAGTAAAACTATGAGTGTGACGGAGCGGGTCACAGAGTGACTGACTCCGCCACTGACAGCCGACACACCAAACATTTCCTGCTCTCTTCCGTCAAATGAACCATGCAATTTCTTATTTATTTTTACTTTTGTTAATTATGGGGAATGACGGTTAAGAGGTAGTTAACCTGTGTATGTTTGGTGCAGATAGTTTCCTCATGTTGGAGGAAATTACATTTATGTTGACAATGTGGTTTGGAGTTGATTGTGTCACCTGTTGACGGTGAGCCTGTGGGAGGGGCCATGGGTTCAAAAGGGACGGTGTTGGTTCCTTGTGGGGGCGGACTGTGTCACTCGAAGAATGTTGCAGTGAAGGCAACAGCTGGGATGTGTTCGGGGGTTTGTTGCAGAGAAGGCAACAGCCAGAACACGTTTACTCTGAATGAGTGATGGACGGCCTGTTTTTGTCTTTTATTTTTGTTGTTTACATTGTGCTGGTTCCGTTTTTGTTTTGTTGCTGTAAATAAAGTTTTTTGGAGCGTAACCCAACCGACTAGGCCAGTGTTTGTGAACGGACAAATAGAGCCCCGTCACAATGAGTTTTTAAAAAAAAAACTAAGTCAAGCAAAATAAAATAAATTTCAAAAATAAAACTATAAGCTGCAAACAAATCATTTCTTTTTTCTTTGTTTTAACATAGGTTTTTGTTTGCAGTTCTTGTTTCTTCTTTCTCAATGATCAGACTTTTGCTCTCGCTGCAGCTTTCTCATTTGCGTTCCTTCACTTTTTGTTTGAGATTCTGACACAAACCTCCTAGGTGGGCGGGACTTTCAGGGGTGCGTCCCCATTGGCTACTCAGTTTTTGAGTTAAAGCCCAGTCCTCCAGCGATTGTACAGTGCAGGCAGCTGCGGTGCGGTAGCTGAGCGTGGACAGAAGACCCCCAGAAGAACCAGAATTTCAATTATTATAATAGTACAAGTGCAAATATATGTAAGTATTGATCATTTGTGTTGTTTGTGCTGTGCTATACGTTCTGTTTCTTTATTGTGGTAAGTGAGAAGTAAAGCTGTGCTATAAAAGTTAACTTGTGCTACCTTTAGAACATAGCTAGCAGTGAGTGAGCGTTCAGACACCGGCGCACACACACTCAAACGGACTCGTGTGCCTGACTCTACCAACAGGCTTTCATGATTCTGTTTAGATATGCAAGTATAAGCCATGATAGCTTATTTTATTAACACGCTAATTTGATATGAAAATCAATGGAGGCTGAGTTAACTTTGTAGGAAAACCTACTGTCCATGAGCTGTGTTTTATTTGTTAACTTCATATTTTTCATTTCCTAAAACATTTATTTTCCTCTCATATTAACAGTGTGGATCATTGAGACAGCGTGGTGTCCAGAGCCTAGGTCTTATCCCGTTTTCCCACTTCCTCTGAGGGGACATCATCAGATCCACGGAGGGGGAGGGGGGGGGGGGCATGAAGAAAGACCTGCACCAGCTTCATCCACGCTGGGCGTTGCTGTTATCACTGTCTCAGTGTCATTTCATTTGACCAAATGGCTTTACATATACTACACTTAATAGATGTTATTATTATCCACCTTTTTGTTTTATGTCCTCTTTTTTCAAAACGTTTTTTGAGACTTCATCTTCTGGTTCAAATTTCAATAAATGTAATTTGTATAATCACTCTTTTGTCTTTATTCTACATGGAAATGTTAGAGATTCCATTCAAATCTGTTGATTATTCATATCTTCCTCAGGCTAGGAATAGTATGTAGGGTTTTTAATGCTAAATGTATATCATTTTCTCACAGGATATAGAATGAGACAACACAGTTTGTATCCATTGTGTATGAATGCTTCAGCTTTTCAGACCCACATAGTAAGATGTGAGCATGCTCCTAATTGTGTTGGTATGCAGCCTAGGTCTGGTCTGTTTAATAAAGCAAATCTGCCACTTTTATATTGTAGAATTTGTTAAATTAAAGCAGTCTTTAATTGTTGGTCCTAAACATAGCAATATATGCTTTTGAAATGTAACATGTCTTTGAAAAAATAACAGTTTACAGTTTATATTGTGTATCACCTTTAGCTTAAAAATACATAGATGTGTTTTTTTAATAAATAGATAGACAGACACTTTATCAATCCCAAATTAGGAAATTATTTAACAGCAGCAGTGTGTTCAGGTATTAAAATATTTAAAGTTGGAATAAAGTATAAACTACACAACACAAGTCTAATGCACAGCAATCCATAAGAGAAGTCCGATATGTTCATGAAACTCCCCAGGAGACACCGACACTAACGTGGCCGAGTGGACTCCGGAGTTTGCTGCATGAGTTGCACTGTATGATCTGTGGTGTAGTGGGCTGTCACTCAAAAACTGAGTAGCCAATGGGGACACACCCCTGAAAGTCCCGCCCACCTGGGAGGTTTGTGTCAAAATCGAAAACAAAAAATGAGGGAGCGCAAAAGAGAAGAGCTGCAGCGAGAGCAAAAGTCTGATCATTGAGAAAGAAGAAACAAGAACTGCAAACAAAAACCTATGTTAAAACAAAGAACAAATACTTCTAGTTTACATGATTACACAAATGATTTGTTTGCAATTTATAGTTTTATTTTTGAAATTTATTTTATTTTGCTTGACTCAGTTTTTTTTTCTTTTAAACTCATAGTTTTGCTTGATTCTGAGAAAGTGTTGCTTTATCTTTATGATACAAAACTAATCCCATATTAAAAGGGACATTAGAGTGTTGCAGGGATTAAGTATTTTTGTAGGCAGCCCAGAAGTTAGCATCACTAGGGCTCCCTCGCTAAAATTAGATTTTGAGATTTGAGATGCATTTGATGTCGTAGAACAAAACATGGATATCTCTTCCGCTTGTGTTCACCACAGGTCTTATTTCAGACTTCTAACCAAAAACATGAAGAAAAAAAAACAAAAAGAGGGAAACTGAAGTTGTAAAAACTATGTTTTAGGACTCCTTCCTGTACCACTCTATTGGCTTGCACCATTACCCTCACTTCAAGAGGACGAAGAGATGTCAGCCAACTACTCATGTGTTTGCTGCATATAAATTGATTTAGTGTGCATTTTCTGAATAAAAATGTAGTCACTAGTCTTTCTTAAATACAGACAACATCATGTCCATTGAAAATATAAAAAATAAAGTTAACTCTGTTTATAAGGACTCCAACCTTCAGGGTCCGGTATATTTTTTTAAATACTTGTGTGTGAACTTTTATATTGGATTGGACAGAGTGAGATATATTTTTGTGTTTCCTCTCATACACTCATGAGCCTCCCATTTTTAAAAGTGTAATACTAAACCAGTTTTTTGTATTGCTCCTGAAATTATGACATTGTGTAGATGATACAGAAGCTGCAAAACACTCTTACACATATTTCCTGTAATAATAATATATGTTTGTGTTTGTTTCTAAAGTAATAAATTAGCTCAATGCAATGATCAGATATTGCAACTCCCCTGGTTTGCACTTTAGAGCATGAACCAAACATAGTTATTGTGTCTCACTGCTTTGTTTTCCTCTCAGGTGAAGGTCTGGTTCCAGAACAGGAGGATGAAGTGGAAGCGTGTGAAGGGAGGCCAGCAGGGGGCAGCATTACGAGACAAAGACTTGATTAATGTAAAGAAAGGGACACTACTGTCTTCTGAGCTTTCAGAGAGAGAAGGACAGAAGTGCTCACCGAAGCTCGAAACTGAGGAGGACAGCCAGGAGAGCGACCAGAGCTCATACAACCTTCACCTATGACCTTTGATGGTGGTCCTGGTCTGGATAGAACTTAAAGAAATAGTGGTGAGACATACAGTAGGGCAAAAAAGTATTTAGTCAGCCACCAATTGTGCAAGTTCTCCCACTTAAAAAGATGAGAGAGGCCTGTAATTTTCATCCTAGGTACACTTCAACTATGAGAGACAGAATGGGGGGAAAGAATCCAGAAAATCACATTGTAGGATTTTTAATGAATTAATTGGTAAATTCCTCGGTAAAATAAGTGTTTGGTCACCTACAAACAAACAAGATTTCTGGCTCTCACAGACCTGTAACTTCTTCTTTAAGAGCCTCCTCTGTCCTCCACTCGTTAACTGTATTAATGGCACCTGTTTGAACTCGTTATCAGTATAAAAGACACCTGTCCACAACCTCAAACAGTCACACTACAAACGCCACTATGGCCAAGACCAAAGAGCTGTCAAAGGACACCAGAAACAAAATTGTAGACCTGCACCAGGCTGGGAAGACTGAATCTGCAATAGGTAAGCAGCTTGGTGTGAAGAAATCAACTGTGGGAGCAATTATTAGAAAATGGAAGACATACAAGACCACTGATAATCTCCCTCGATCTGGGGCTCCACGCAAGATCTCACCCCGTGGGGTCAAAATGATCACAAGAACGGTGAGCAAACATCCCAGAACCACACGGGGGGACCTAGTCAATGACCTGCAGAGAGCTGGGACCAAAGTAACAAAGGCTACCATCAGTAACACACTACGCCGCCAGGGACTCAAATCCTGCAGTGCCAGACGTGTCCCCCTGCTTAAGCCAGTACATGTCCAGGCCCGTCTGAAGTTTGCTAGAGAGCATTTAGATGATCCAGAAGAGGATTGGGAGAATGTCATATGGTCAGATTAAACCAAAATAGAACTTTTTGGTAAAAACTCAACTAGACGTGTTTGGAGGAGAAAGAATGCTGAGTTGCATCCAAAGAACACCATACCTACTGTGAAACATGGGGCTGGAAACATCATGCTTTGGGGCTGTTTTTCTGCAAAGGGACCAGGACGACTGATCCGTGTAAAGGAAAGAATGAATGGGGCCATGTATCGTGAGATTTTGAGTGACAACCTCCTTCCATCAGCAAGGGCATTGAAGATGAAACGTGGCTGGGTCTTTCAGCATGACAATGATCCCAAACACACCGCCCGGGCAACGAAGGAGTGGCTTCGTAAGAAGCATTTCAAGGTCCTGGAGTGGCCTAGCCAGTCTCCAGATCTCAACCCCATAGAAAATCTTTGGAGGGAGTTGAAAGTCCGTGTTGCCCAGCGACAGCCCCAAAACATCACTGCTCTAGAGGAGATCTGCATGGAGGAATGGGCCAAAATACCAGCAACAGTGTGTGAAAACCTTGTGAAGACTTACAGGAAACGTTTGACCTCTGTCATTGCCAACAAAGGGTATATAACAAAGTATTGAGATGAACTTTTGTTATTGACCAAATACTTATTTTCCACCATAATTTGAAATAAATTCTTTAAAAATCAGACAATGTGATTTTCTGGATTTCTTTCAGGCCTCTCATCTTTTTAAGTGGGAGAACTTGCACAATTGGTGGCTGACTAAATACTTTTTTGCCCCACTGTATGTGAATGTCTCTCAAAAGACAAGGACATCAAACTCAAAGAACATTGCAGAGAGGCTCCAGACAGATACAAGGTTTGTATTCTGCACCATCTGAGAATTTGTTTCAGTCATATTGTACTGTACTTCTTATAACAGTCAATGCTAAAATATTGATGTGGCATAAACAGTTAAATGAAAGGAAAGCATTCATGCCATTTCTTTTTTAAGTTAATAATTTATCAAAATGTGTGCCCAAAATAAACTGAACCTGGAACTGTTTTTCTACATTCTAAAATAAACAGGTCTATCTTCTGCCTCTTGCTCAGTCTGAAAGTTGACTTGCTTGTCACCTGAAAAAAACGTTGATAGTAAATGCGAATAAATTATAAAAACTCAAATGTCTTGGTGGCGATTTATAGCATTTATACATTTAGTGGAGAAAGTGACGATTAGGCACAAGCAACTTGGCTTAGGGATAAGGTGAGTACAGTCATCCGGGTCTCGCAGTAGAGCCGCTGCTCCTTCCCGTTCAAAGATGCCTGTTGAGGTGGACAGGAAACCTGGAGGATGGCTGTCTTCTTGGGAGGTGTTCCAGGCACATCCAGCTGGGAGGAGACCGAGGGGCAGACCCCGGACCAGGTAGAGGGATTATATCTCTACGCTGGCTTTGGAGCACCTTGGAATCCCCCAGTCAGAGCTGGTTGATGTGGCCAGGGTTAGGGTTAAGACAAGATTAATCTAGATTCAACCAAAAGTATCTAGCAGAACTAGTTCCAAGTTTCTTAAACTAGCAAGAAAGTCTCCAAGTTGGCAACAGTCAGGTTTTGGGCTTGTCTGTCAGAAAAAAAATATCATAGCAAAGACTAAAAAGCCTGTTTGTTTGGACAGATCAACCGGATGCTTTTGAGTGTTGAACTTTTATCACCGTACCCCGACCGGCCTCCTCGTTCCCCAGCTGTCAGATGGCTGTGAGCTCATTCATACAAACTGTGAGAACATGCATCCTCCAGTTGGTGTTCATGGAGAAAAACATGTCAAACAAATATGAAGTAGCCTTAATAAGCTAGACTGTCTTATAAAAAAGGTGAAAAAGAGTAAGAACGTTATGAGGACACAGAGCCTAAGACCATAATTCTATAGTTGTAAACACAAAGTGAAGATAGCCTGGGAAACCGATGAGAGTTCAATCAGGAGAGACGGTTTTGATGTACAGTTGCAAGAAAAACCCTTTGGAATGACCTGGATTTCTGCATAAATTGGTCCTAAAATGTGTTCTGATCTTCATCTAAGTCACAACAATAGACAAACGCAGTCTGCTTAAACTAATACCACACAAATAATTATATGTTTTCATGTTTTTATTGAACACACCGTGTAAACATTCACAGTGCAGGGTGGAAACAGTATGTGAACCCCTAGGCTAAAGACTTCTTCAAGAGCTAATTGGAGTCAGCCAACCTGGAGTCCAATCAATGAGACGAGATTGGAGGTGTTGGTTAAAGCTGCCCTGCCCTATAACAAACACACACCAGTTTTGAATGTGCGATTCTTAAGAAGCATTGCCAGATGTGAACCATGCCTCGCACAAAAGAGCTCTCAGAAGACCTACGATGAAGAATGGTTGACTTGCATAAAGCTGGAAAGGGTTACAAAAGTATCTCTAAAAGCCTTGATGTTCATCAGTCCACGGTAAGACAAATTGTCTATACATGGAGAAAGTTCAGCACTGTTGCTACTCTCCCTAGGAGTGGCCGTCCTGTAAAGATGACTGCAAGAGCACAGCGCAGAATGCTCAATGAGGTGAAGAAGAATCCTAGAGTGTCAGCTAGAGACTTAAAGAAATCTCTGGCACATGCTAACATCTCTGTTGAGGAATCTACGATACGTAAAACACTGAACAAGAATGGAGTTCATGGGAGGACACCACGGAGGAAGCCACTGCTTTCCAGAAAAAACATTGCTGCACGTTTGAAGTTTGCAAAAGAGCACCTGGATGTTCCACAGCACTACTGGCAACATATTCTGTGGACAGATGAAACCAAAGTTGAGTTGTTTGGAAGGAACACACAACGCTATGTGTGGAGAATGCAAAGGGTTCACATACTTTTTCTTGCAACTGTAATAATACATATTTATTGCGCAGATGCACAAATGAATGTAATGTGATTTTGGCGATTAGGCCCTGTTGTGCAGGAAGTATCATTCGGGAAGGTAGAGCCGATCCGATGAAATCCCCCTGGGGTCTAGACACTGGTGGTGGTGAATGGATAGTTGGGTCGGTCCGAAGAGGAGTGGATTAGCTTGACCCTGGATTCAGAGGGACGGGAGGTGAAAAGGGGTGGAGGAGGGTTGCGTTGAGTCACCTGAAATGACAGCTGTCAGAGGGGAAAGTGCAGATTTAAAAGGTTTGACAGAGCGTTATGATAGGCTCTTGGGAATAGAGCGAAGTGATTGGTTAAGCTGAAGAGTGACGCCCCCGGTCACTTATTGAGAGGAGGGAGAGTAGTAACATGGGAATAGAATTATATGAAGAGTAAAGACGGTCTTCCTGGTTGAACTTGCGCTAAGCTTCATTAGTCACTCGTATGACTCACAACGGGGCCACTTCTACAGTTTAGTGAATACATTGTGTGTTAACAGAGGTGGAAAAAGTACTCAGATGTTCTACTGAAATAAAAGTATGACTCCGAGAGTGCAGGAATGCTCTGTTACAGTAAAAGTCCTGCATTCAAAATGTTACTCAAGTAAAAGTAGAAAAGTATTGGCATAAAAATATACTTAAAGTACCAAAAGTAAAATTTGTCATTGTGCAGATTGGTCCATTTCAGAATAATATATACGATATGTTTTATAATGATTGATCATTAAAGTGTTCTCAAAGCTGGTAAAGGTGCAGCTAGTTTGAATGACTTTGTATACTGCAGGGTAGCTTGTGGATTTACTCCAGGTGGAACTAAAGACTGATTTAACACTTGATTAGATTTCACATCATTCATCCAGATCTGTGAAGTAACTAAAGGTATAGTGGAGGAAAAGTACAATAGTTACCTCTGAGTGGAGTATAAATAGCAAACAATTGAAATACTCAAGTACAATACCTCAAAATTGTACTTAAGTAAATGGACTGTACTTATATAGCGCTTTATCCAGTCTTTACAACCCCTCAAAGCGCTTTACATGCTACATGTCATTCACCCATTCACACCCATTCATACAGAGCAGTACCACTTGCTCTAGGACCTAACATTCACACACATTCACACACCGTTGGCCATGCCATCGGGAGCAACTCAGGGTTAAGTGTCTTGCCCAAGGATACATCGAGATGTTGGCTGCACGGGCTGGGATCGAACCCACAACCTTCTGGTTGAAAGACGACCGCACTCCCTCGCAGCCACAGTCGCCCTAAGTACAGTACTTGAGTAAATCTATTACTTTACCCTAGTGTGTCTTAGAACCTCCAGATAATATTGTAACTGACTGATGATCCAGGTTTGTTTTCACTGAGAGGAGGATGAGAAGCTGTGAGG